ATAATGATATGCTTCATTTTCATGAAATTTAGCATCATTAGCTAGTCTGTGGTTATTATTAGTGAGCTTGTATTGGATAACAAGCCAGCATTTTAAGCAGGTGTATTGGCAGAGGATTGGTATAGAAGATGGTAGGATACTTTCTGTGATTCCTTCCAAATTATGGAGAAAGACCTTAGTTTTTTTGTTATTCGAGTTTGCAGCGAGAGTAATAAAGCTTGGGATAGTGATGTTGTATTCAGTGTTGTTTGCAGAGATGAAGCTAGTATGGTAAGTGCTACATAGGTATTGAGTGAAAGCAGAGGTTTTAGGGACAAGAAGAAAGTGCATAGTTTTAGTGTTGCTTTGAAGAGTTTTGGTAAGGCAAGTAATTGGTTTGCTTTTAGGTGGGATTGGTGTAATATTTTTTGGATCTTTTTCATAGAAAGCTACTTCAAAAGTATCAGAGCACTTTCTATAAAAGTAGTCTAAGTTGAGAGTATCTAGAACTTCACTAGTTAATGTAAGCATGTTGATAGTATTGAATTATTGATATATGTTCTAATGTAATGAGATCGAAGAGAGCTTCATGGAAAGGTATAATTTGTATTGTATAATAGTAGGTAGCTTGTATAACTTGTGTAACTTGTGTGACTTAGGTCTGTGTGGCTGGTGTGGCTTGTGGCTAATGTAGCACAAGTCAGGTGTTGCTTGAATAGTACGGAGTACAAGTATGTGGTACTAAGTTAAAAAAAGATTAAATTGTACTATATGCAGTACAAATTAAGAGTGAAACAAATATGTAAATAATTAATTTGTGTTAAATTAATTGTAGCTTAGAAAGGAAATAGTGAATTTAGTATAATTATGAGGTCGACCAGTGATTTTTTGCCAGGTTGTCACATGACCCAATTCTAGATTTGAAGGGGTAAGGGAGAAAAAAGGAAAAATTAGTTAAGTTTTAAAAAAAAGCTTTGAAATAGTTTTTTGAAGCTAGTTTGCTGAGTTCCGATCCGTTTTAGATAAAATTTATATCAAAATGGAGCTGGTAGTGTGCTAGGCATAACTCTATTAATGAGCAAGAGCTGTTAGCTTAGTAAATTGTTGTGAAATTTCTGGAAGAGCTATTGGATAGTTATAGCAAAGTAGCTTTATATATAGAGGTCTGGGAAGTATAAAACTAGACTATCCTAGAGCAAAATTTTGTGTAGAACAATTTTGCTTAGTAGCCTAAGGGTTGTTTACTTAATAAAATATTTAGTTATAGCAAAATGTTTTTGGGAAGTTTTGGTACAAGTAATCTACAGTAAGAATTCTCTCCCTTTAAAATCTTTATCAAAAGAACACCAAGAGTATCTTTACTATAAAATAAAGAAATATATAAATATAAAATTTCAAGAAATAACTTGTCCAAAGCCATCGTGGCTTAAATAAATAGCTTTATTTATTTGGGTAAAACTCTAAAAGCTCGAATAAATAAAAAATTTTTTTAATTAAATACAATTTTAAGGTTAGCGATAAATATAGTATAGTTTTATATATCATTACATATAAATAAATTACCGTCACCTTGTTTTTCAATAAAACAACAATAAACCAATTTTTATTTATATATGGTATTATGCGAAAGTATCGTTCAAGACTAAAACCCGCCTTTATTCTAGTTTTTGTTGAAAAAAATTTTTTATCGCAATTTATTGATAATCTAATTTGTCATTTTTGATTGGATGACCTTTGATCATCAATCTATTTTTAGAATATGAAATTTTCGAAGAATTGTTTTTTTCAAATTAAAAAATCACGATAATTTATTATATCAACATAGAGTAAAAATTAAAATACATATAGATAGAAATCAGCACTTTAATTTGAATCAAAAATCTTAAAATTGTTGAAAAAGTGTCAAAGGCGGGTTTTCCTAGTCCACAACCCATATAGGTATTAATAGTCAGAGGGATACTATAGTTAGCATAGGAGATATTTATTGCACTATATAGGTATCGCCGAAGGAAAACCTGTCATTGGACTTTCAATTGTAATTATCGATTTAATATATATTTTAGGCCTCTAAAAGTTGTGAGGGGTATTATACTAGGGGGCCTTTTAGTCCACGCTGTACCGTACAGCCTGTACGGTATTCATTCAAAATTTTTTTTTACATATATTTATGAATGCTTAGTATTAATTATTAGAAAATATATTTATGACAAATAATATATAGATATCTTGTTTATAATCGGCTTTAAGAAATTTATTTCTTATACACGTAAGTATTTTAACTAAATACACATTATTACCCCAAAAATTATGCGGTATTAATCTGACAAGTCGTAAGTTATGTCGATATAAGAATCCGATGTAGATACATACTTTGTAGGTAATCTCGCACAAACGTGATTTCTAAGGGTCTTCAAGAAGTAAAAGAAGTTTTAAAAGGATAGACAATTTTGTTAAAAGCTTACAATGCCCTTATTGATTACGGTAAGATCCTCCAAAAAAGTATATCTGCTCACTAAATTGCGAAAATCTAGTAGAATATTTATTGAAAGACTTAAAAAATTTTGTCGCATAGTATATAATAATATGTTTAATAAAGAAATTTTCATTTTAAATATCATCAGGAATCAGTAATTTAGATAATTCTTCAGAGATTTGATTCACATCTGTTAGCTTGCTAGTGTATATTTGATTCGGATGTTTTGGCTCGATTAATTTGGGTTTGACTTATCGGCTTCTAAAAATTCTTTTTTGACCTCGTTATCTTGTCTAACCAATACCACTAATTACAGTTGCATTGGGTTTTTTACCCGGACCTATGTCCATGCATCTATTAGCTAATTCAATGTAAAATTTGGAGTTCCAGGTGCAAATTCTGGTCTTGAAGGATTGTTTTTGTCACAAATTTTTAATCCAAGTCCAAGGCTCTTTTTCCTGTTGATATTTCTGACATGATGATTCCAAAACTGTAGATATCAGCTGCCTGTGTGAATGGTTTCCCCAATAATACTTCAGGTGCAATATAAGGCAAAACACCACAAATATTTCCTTCATTTTCATTTTCGGAAGAAAGCCCTATATCTGTAATGTAAACGTTATATAAATGATCTTGCAAGATATTCCACTATGTAAATCTCGATGAACAAGTTCTTGAGAATGTTCCACTATGTAAATCTCGATGAACAAGTTCTTGAGAATGTATGGATTCAAGATCTGAAGCAATACAGTATACTATATTCAACTTATCTTTCCACCCTAATTGAGACACTGAATTGAGATTCTGCGTAATGATCCTTTACTTGCATATTCCAGGACAATGATATAATCTTCAGTTGAATCATCTCTTGATATACCATGACATGCTAAAAATGATGGATTTTCGTAACCTATATCGCAATAAGTCTTCAATTATTGAACGAAATTTTCTACATTTTGGTCGAACCGTGAATGAGTTTAAGCGCAACTGTTTTATAAATTTTATTACTTTTATTAAGCCAATATGCATAAAATACGGTAGCGAATCCACCTTTTCCTATTTCTCATATATTTTTGAATTCATCGTAATTAATCCATGATAATTTATAATTTTCATCATTCAATATTTTTTTAATACTATTATCAATATCTCCACTTGATGATTTATTAGTTTTTTTAAGACTTCTTTCTTTTCGATACCAATGATTGGCTTTTTGAATATCTCTTTGTATTCCGATTCCATTTCGATAATAATTGGCGAGATGAGTTATTCTGCGTATATCATTCATATTAGCAGCCTTTTTGTAGCATTCGAACGCTTTAGGTTCATCCTTCTCGACTCCGTTTCCATAACGATAACAATTACCGAGATTATTCATTCCAAGAGTATGACCCATATCAACAAATTTTTGATAATAAATAAATGCCTTATTTTCATCCTTTTCAACTCCAATTCCGTTGCTGTAAAAATAACCAACATTATACGTTCCACTAGAATCACTCATATCAGCAGATTTTTAATAATAAATAAATGCCTTATCTTCATCCCTTTCGACTCCAATTCCGTTTCTCATCACCCATATCAGCAGATTTTTGATAATAAAGTAACGCCTTATTTTTATCTTTTTCAACTCCAATTCCGTTGCTGTAACAATAACCAACATTATATGTTCCTGGAGCATTACCCATATCAGCAGACTTTTGATAATAAATGAGTTTTATCACATGACAAACGTTATCACGGCTATGTGGCCGGAATTAGGGTTAGGGTGAATCGCGTTAGTTATTTTATATATATAGTATACTCAATTTTATAAAAAGCTTGGCATATATCGATTTACAATAACCAAATATACAGTATAATGCATCTAATAAAATTCAATAAAATAAAAACATCGAGGTACGTAAGTATTTAAAACATATATCGTAGACAAATTATATCCAATATGTCAACATGTGATCCGAAGGATCACGTGTTAATAATTATACAGAAAAAATAATCCAGTATCCTACGACGATTGGGTTTGTCAAATGACTTGATACTGGATAATTTAAATTATTTGAATTTGAAAGTCTGACTAAAGATTAAGAATACTACATTCTGAATAAACAAAAGTTTGAAAATGGGCAATCCAGAGTTTTTGTAAAAATAAAGGATCGGATAGAAAATCCAAAGACGGATTTTATAAATTAAAATTGTAAATGTGGCTTCGTCCTGTAACGGTAAATTACATGATATGCCATTTACCGTTACGGTTTAATTCTAATAAAAAAAAAAAAAAAAATATCATAGTTATGTTTCTAAAGGTCCCTACGAGTCGACTCGAAAAGTCGATCAAAAGACCGACTCTGAGCTTTTTATATCTAACCCAGTTAAGGATAACTAAACTTTAATTTGGAATAATATATTTAATTAATACGTATTCTAGCAATCATTTACATTTTCTATCATAGTTAAAAAAGAATAATTAATAATTTAACAGGAATAATATTTACAAGTGTTTAAAAAGTTCATATTAGAAAATAAGATTTAAATTAATTATACTATTTCAAGTAAATGATCCAGTCAGTGTCCAAATTTTTTCGCAGATATTCCAAAGATACATTGTGTACACATCCCCATGCAGAGATGCGCGCTTATTATATGCAAGAGACTTTTCCAAAAGAGTAGAGATAGTTTTGCGAGTTTCATCTATAAAAGAATAGGATCGAAAACAAAGAATTTAATTAGTATAGATAATCATAGAGTAAAAAAAAAAAAATAATAATAATAATTAATACCTGCTAGCATTTCTTTTTTCGTTGGATCCAAAATACTATTTTCTTTGGTCAAGATTTCTTCAAGAATCCATAACAAAAAATAAGCACTGTCCTTACGCACAACATCACTAATTTCAGTATCTTTCTTTGTTGAAAATGTGGAATCCTGCACTAATGATGCAGCATCCTGATCTGTAGACAAAATCGGTATAATTACTGCAGAACAACTTAATGACCTTGATGGATTTTCATCAACAATATCGAATTCATCCGATACTAGCCGTAAGCATTCTTTTACTGCAGCCAACGAAACAGCATCTTTTAATTGTGGACCAACATGTTGACAAATATGAATTAATAATTTAGCAATTGCATCTCGTGGATCTTGACTTTTAACATTTGTAACATTAGGACGATTGTTGATGGATTCATTATCTTGCAACGCATCACACAACATCCTCATACTGATAGTATGAATCGCCTTGATCAAAGATGTAAAAGAGTTTGCAAGAGTTATAATTATTTCATTTTTTTCTGATTTAGAAATTAATGGTGAATCGAAAAATGCTAATTTAAAAAATAGAATATGTAATAGAATATGTAAATTAATAAATTTTGTGACTATATAAACGATTAAAAAATTATTAATAAATTATTAAAACAAACCCAATAATTTTATCATAACAGAACCAAAACTATTTATACATAATGGATACGCCTGTAGCATACTTATATTATTTACGGTGTTATTCTCAAACACATGTAATAAACTTGCCAACTTTAAATTCATATAACTAATGATTTTAATAATTGTTTTTGTTATAATTGCTCCAGAGTTTGCAGAGTATGGCGAGAAAGAAGATGAGTCAGTGACTGGTATAACAGGCAGTGTTGTATGTGCTAGTTGTTTAATTTGCTGTAAGAAAGACATTGCTTGACTGATATCGAATAACTTCCATGCTTCTATATAGATGTAACATGATTTATCATTTAATTCTTCTAAGAAAAAATGATAAAACGAGAAATTTACCATCATCAGCTCCGGGAATCTTTTGAAATATTTTAGATTCAGGATCTTGAAATTTTTTCGATCCTCTTTTTGCCGTCGCACCTTTCCCAGATTGCTTTTTATTCGTTGAATTCAAGGATACTACAGAACCTTGTTCACTTTCAGTGATTGCTGTCGTTTGTTGTGCCTTTGTTTTTCTTCTTTTGTTAGATGCACCTTGTTTTGCCGTCTCAAGCTCTTTTAAAAGAAAAATCCTTTTAAAAATTAATTCGGAAAGTATTTGTACAGACCAAAACGAATGATACTACCTAACTCAACAATACATAAACGTTGCTTTAATGTTTCAACTTCGTTTGCCAATTCCAAGGCTCTCTTTTTCCAGCGTTGACAGTCGTCATCATCAGAATCTTTATCATTATTCACCTCACTATTTATTTGATTTTGCTCCTCAACAGTAACATGGGTATCTTTCGTTTCAAAAACTTTTTGGTTACTATCAATATTATCATTAACTTGTTTTTTCTCTTTTTGATCTTTTGGTGTCCAATTTACAAATCGAATATACTCTATATACAAAAATTATAAGAATGTTTTCGAAAAAAAAAAAAAAAAAAAAAAAATTCAACAAGATTTGATAGATTTTACCATCGATAGTCCAATCTATAGGTTTATTTCGCAAGATCACCAAAGCCTTTACTTGGATCAAATAAAGGTAAATTTATTTTTCGAGACATATTTAAATGTTATATAAAACAATTCCTTTATTCAAACAATAATAAAAACAAGAACTTGCCAACACGAGTTTTAGTCGATTATATGATGTATCATAAGGTATTTTTGAATTAGAGAGCGACATTATTAAAAATCAAAATAATAAATAAAATAGTTTTGTATATAAAAATCGAATTGTTAAAAAATACGATCTAAAAAGTATGAAAGGTAGATACAGTATATACGTAAAAACTATTTTTTTTTTACGATAAATTGCGTTATTTTACTTTTGTAATTCTCAATTATCTATACGTCATATTCATATTCAATGATTATACTATTGATATATTTTCGAATGATTTCAAACACGTCACAATCGCGCTTCACGTAGAATAAGCTTTATCATCAGTTAAGTTATATGTCAACAAAAAAACTTTTTTTTTTCGAATCTCTTTTAGGAACTGCTTTTTCCTTATACCAGAGCAAAGATTCTCAAACTTTTTTTTTTTGTATTAAATTATAAAGTGTTCTCAAAAAACATTACATCATAAATTTCTTGGAGTTCGAATGTTTCTAGAAAATCTTAAAAGCTCACTGATATATTTTATGAATTAAAGAAATTAAACGAATGTTTGCCGCACGATTAACAGTTATGTCTAGCCCTTAACGTTTAACCTAACTTCAATTGGGTTGTAAATATGATCAAATGATGTTATGTAATGTATGTACGTACTAAACAGGAAGCCTATTAGACTTGAATATTATTAATGTTGGGCTACGTATGTTAGGTGATTCACGATAATGCATTAAAATAATGATAAAACCTGAACAGAAACATGGTTAATGAACTATAGATTCTTTGTGATGTTGGAATACAGTATCGGTATGCAGAAACGTAATATACAATTAGTTTTAGCAATTGAAATAGTCGCAAATAATGCTTAATTCATCTTTATTCCTTGAAACAAATCTCTCCGATCAGTATCCTGCAAATCTTATGCTACTTACTAAATTTCGTCATGATTGAAGAGAGATTATCCACATCGGTGAGCTCCGAATTCTCCTTATTAAGGACACCCCTAGGCACAAGTCATATATAATTACCTCTTTAGGCTCAACAGAATCGAGTTATACGTACGTTGTATCGACGCGATTTGATTGTCAAGATAATCCATGATCTTTTTTAATAAAAAACCTATACATCGATTTGCTTAAAAAAAAAAAAAAACAAATTTATCGTTATCAATTATACCGTTAGCAGATTGATGAGACAACCTAGTAAGACCGATTTGGTAAATGATATGATGATTTCTTGATTTATATCTTTGTCCTCTAAAACATCAATTAATCAATTGTTTTGGATAATAAAGATTCATTAATGCCTTTTTTTTTTGACAGTTTGGAAGCACTAGTTTGCCTAAATCATATGAATTCTGCAATCGAAGTAGTATCTGGTCATAAGACAATCAACCTGCATGAACTGACACTATTATATAAAAAGGTGAAAAACCCCCGTATCGGTATCTTTTGCTTCTTTTTCACCGTCTTGTCAGAAAAAAAAAAAAACAAAAAAAAAAACGGTTGGTTGATATATGTTCTCTTTTTATATGCTATTTGATGACAAGGGATAATATTATGCACCCTGTTATTTTAATACTAGAGTCTGAGTAGGACTATTGTTCTATGTGATCTTGTTCTCTGATTTAAAAATGATAGGATACACAATTCTATCAGCAGTTAATTTTTAATTTGATATATATCAATTATTAAAGTATAATATTAGTGATTACGTATTAGTGTAGATAAATAGTTGTTAGTATGGTTAGCAAGATTATACGGATTGTAGATTGAAGAAAGTTAATTAAACATGATTTTGTATTTGTTAGTTTTGTTTTGGAGTTGTCAATATTGAAATCACCAAGTACTATAGGGTGTAGTTTTAGTTTTTGTGCTTTTTGTATTCAGTGTATAACTTTTGTTTGTATTTCATTTCTTCAAGCAATATTTCCAGAAGACAAATATACTGATATAATTCTAAATTTAAAATCATTTTTGAAAAAGATATCAATACCAATAGCTCCTCCATTATATTTTTGAATTTTGTGAATATATGGTTTAAGGAAGTTTGATATCATTATCCCAGTACCTTCCATTGAGGTATCAGAGTTTGCCAAATGATATGTAAAGT